AAGGTCAAAATTTAGAAACTCGTTTTTATTTCTTAAATCTAGTTACTTTCTTTATTTGTGAATGTTGATTTATTAGTTAATTCATTTCATAAGAAATTGATTAAAGCTTTATTGAGAATATTTGAGTTTTACCCGATTTGTGAAAGTTTGTCTTAAGAAATTTGTTGAGAATTATGAGTATTCTGTCTAATTTGGGTGTAGACCTTGTGGTCCTTGTTGTTGTGGGTGTTTTGTGTGAATTAGCTACTAAATACTGTATAATCATATTTACTACTAGCAATTACCGATTAGCACTAAGTTTTATAATAATTTACATGTTGATTAAGGTTTATAGTTTTTTTTTTGGAACCCTTGGATTCTAGATTCTTTAATTTGATTAAAATTTCGTTATTATGTTAAATATGTTGTTGAAATGTCAAATTATTGATCTCGTAATTTGTTATAACTAAAAAAAAAATATTATAAAAGAAACATTACATTTTGATTTATATAATTTATAATACGTTTTGTATTCATACCGAATTAAAACGTATTATAAATCAAATAATCACTTTGGACAAAAGTTCGTTACTTGTATTCCTTCAATTTAGTTTTTCCAAAATGATTCTAAATCCATTAGTTTCAAAAGAGATCACTTTGGACAAAAGTTTTCAAGATGGACAATGAAACTCCAATTGTGGACATTTTGGAACAAATTAAATTATAATTTGAAAAATTCTTCTTACCCCTTCCAATTTTTTGGTTCTTAAATTCCTTCCATGACATGGTGTATAATTATTGGTTGTCATGAATTGGCTAACTTTTAATAATAAAAAAATAACCAATCAAACAATGTCATGTCAGGATGGAAACTATGAAGGGAACATTTTTAAAGGTGAATAACATAATTGAAGCATGTGCTCCATCTCAACTAAAAGTTTAAGCTGATAATTAGATTGCACATTTATGACTATATGCTCAACAAACATTACTCTTAGGGGCGTTTGGCTCAAGTTATATAAGATAACTAAGGTTATATTTGCTTGGAAATATAAGATTTCCATGTTTGGTTCAGGTTATGTAATTTTCTGAGGGAATATCACATAACCTCCACACTAATAAGGGTGTGTTTGGTTGACAGGTTTAGTTCTAATGAATATATGGGTATCAAAGTGATTGATATTGTTTGGTTGATAGGTTTTTAGAACACTACTATAGATTTCAAACACCCTCTTAATTGAAAAACTCATACCCAAATAAAATAAGGGTATCATCCCTTTTCATTCCTTTATTCCTTCTCATCCTCTTTGATTAGTGCTTTTAGATTTTTGTTTTTATTTCTTTTGTTCATATTGGTGTTTTTGATGTCTTTATATTAGAATCAATTGTCTTGATTTTGTGTTTTTGTATTTTTAAAATCTTTATTCCCATTATAGGATCATACATAACCAAACAACATTATTGATAATCTTTCTCATTCTACCCTACTACCATAACATGCAAAATACTTTCACTAAAACCCATTAGCATTACCAAGTATTTGATACTCATTACGATTCCAATTCCCATGTGCAAACCAAACACACCCTAAGTTTTTAACTATTGGAAGGGAATGTGAGATCTCACATTCGCTTATCTTATTACTAATTTTGGACTTTTGGCATCTTAATCAATTTGTCTTATTACCGTTGTCTTATTTACATACCTTAGTTTTAAACCAAACACAGAAATTTAACATTCCCAACAATCTAACATTCTCTAAGGTAGTCTAACATTCTGTGAACCAAACGCCTTAGTTTTCCAAAATTTGTACTAAATGGCAGCTTGACCCTTATTTACTTCAATTGAATTTCTCTAACAATTTTTTTGAATGACGAGAAAAACTTGCAAACAATATCTTCTGATTGCTATTTGTAAGTCTTGTTTTGACCGCGGGAAGGTTAACTTTGGAAAAGTGCTTATTTGGTTGGGAAAAATAGGACTCCTTACTCCAAGCCTACACTAAACGCCCCCACCACCCCCCCCCCCCCCCCCCCCAAAAAAAAAAAAAAAAAAAAAAAAACACTTTTGCTCTTAGAGCTTGCATTTCTTTTCTTTTTGAATACTACTGACTCTATTACAATGTAATATTTGTTCATAACTACTTTCCCAACCAAATGAAGCACAAAGAGCCAATATCACCTCCACTAAAGCTCGAACTTACAATCTCTCCTATGAAAAAGCAACTTGATGCCATTGAACCACAAGGTCCTTGGCCCCCTACTCCTATCTAATAGCCAGCAAAGTTCTCTAAATTTTATCCACTGTGAAACTCAAAAAATTCATTCAATAATGCCTCGTATACTCTACTCCTAGAATTTGATTACCTTTATTTCATAACTATGCATAGGGGTAATTAGAGCATTTATTTGAGCACTGCAACTCAATCTATCTTGCATTTACTCATCCAAACATTATATTCTTAAATTTTAATATCAAGTTGTTCTTATATCTAATGCTTAAATTATCCTAATTGCTTTCCAAGTCTTTAGATTGACTCATTGAAATTACATATTACTTAATAGTTCACTCAATTTATAAAACCATATTTGTATACTTACTACTTTATAGAAAGACAATTAAAGTATATATAACTTGAAAACCTTGAATTTATGAATTTGCTGTAAGAAGCTATGGGATTTGTTAGTTGGCTATTAGAGATGGTCAAGAAACCCACCCATGAATGATGGTGTGCTTAATTTGTTGAAGAGTAAGGGCTATTGTTATAGTCAATGTAACTCTTTTATCAAAGTTTGGTAGTGATTCTAACAAAGAATAAAGAGGATCAAAGTATAGATTATGAAATTCTAATGAAAGAGTTCTTAGGTGATATAATGGATCAGAACATTGTTGAACCATTATAAAATTGCGGTTTTCTTCTTTCCCATACTCTTTACATTCTTATGTTGAATTATTGAGCATATAATATATAAACATAAATGTGCAATCTATCTGTCAATTTAGATTTTTAATTGAAATAAAACATATACTTCAATTTGATATCAGAGTTGTCAATTTCATGTCAAAGGTCTTGGAACTTGTCAAAGTAATCAGCTTGCATATATACATGTGAAGTAATCGGCATTCTTGCATATATACATGAGAAGTAATCGGCATTTATAACTTTTAGTTGGGATGGAACGCATGTTTCAATTATAATTTTTTTAAAGAAAAAATTGCATTTTGGTCCTCTAGTTATACTCGTGGTATAGACTTACTCCTTGAATTACATGTGTAACAATCTTTTAACTCCTAAATTATGCATGAAGTGTCAATTTTAGTCATTGAATTGAAGGACCAAATCAGCCATTTTATTAAGTGAAAAATTGATGGTAGAAATAGTCCATGAGGGACTAAACTCTCCACTTCGTGAATAATTTATATGTTAAAGATGGTCAGACATATAACTTAGGAACTAAGTTTGTATCACGAGTATAACCGAAGGACAAAAAATGCAATTTTTCCTGGCTCAATTTTTTACACTATTTTTACTATTTCCCACAAAAAAAACTTGAGTCTAGTCTAGTACAGGGTTTTTCCCTTTGTGTTAGAGATTGATCTGAGATACCCTCCTTGTTTTCTCATTCCTCTAATTTGTTGCTTTGAATCTTTTGTTTTTTGAGTACAGGGCCTCAGTTCTTGGTATCCTCCTGAAAAGCTAGAATCTTTGTTCAGTTTGTGTAATCATGTCTGCCAACAACAATCAACAGCCTGCCAAGAACACTGGGTTTTCATCTCCTTTTGCCAATTCTCCATTTGCCATGCCCAATAATGTTGCTATTCCCCTAACACCCCCTCCTGGATTTCAAATCTCTCCATTTCACGCCCATCTTCTGGCTCAGTTACAACAATCTCAATCTCAATCTCAATCTCAACCTCAACCTCTGGGTGGTACTAGTACCCAGCACCCACTGGCATCACCACCACCTCCCATAGCCCCGGCTGCTCGTAAGGAGAAACAACAGAAGCTCCCTGCTGAAAACCATGGCGGCCCTGTTCGGTAAAATAGTTAGCTTATCAGCTAATTTTGGACTATTAGTTGCTTGACTTGATTAAAAAATGCTCAAATTTAAAAAACTGTTCAAAAGCAACTTTTTCAATTAGTTTTTTGAGAAATAAAATTATACCAAACAGCTAATTTACCAAACATTTTTCTACCATAAGCTAACAGTTATTTATCAAACAGGACTAGCGTCGAACCTGTTCTCTATGCCCAGCTGCTTGATATGGAGTCTCGAGTCGATGAAGCCATTGCCAGAAAGAAAGCTGCTGTCCAGGAGGCACTAATGAAACCGCCATCTTTTGTTAAGAACACCCTTCGGGTTTATATATTCAACACTTTTGCTAACCAGGACTGCCCAAATTCTGCAGAGCCTCCTTCATGGACTCTGGTAATAGTGGGCAGGGTTTTGGAACAGAGCCAAGCAAAGTTTCCCTCTTTCCTCAAAAGAGTCACCATTTCCTTGGACCAGAAGCTCTACCCTGACAACCATCTTATAACCTGGGATAATCGAGCCCGATCGCCTGCTCTTAACGATGGCTTCGAGATCAAAAGAAAGGGGGATCAAGAATTCACTGTGGGCATCACATTACACCTCAACAACTTCCCTGAAAAGTACAAAGTTTCACCAGCTTTGAGAGCAGTAATAGGCCTTGAAGTTGAGAGCCGTTCAAGAATTGTCCATGCAATTTGGCAGTACATTAATGGCAGAAAGCTAAGGGTTCCTGATGACCCTTCTTGCTTCTATTGTGACCCGCCGCTTCGGAGAGTGTTTGGGAGAGGTGTGGTTAAGCTCACAGAGGTGCCATTAAAGATCACTCCCCATTTGTCACCTCCCCAACCCATTCATTTACAGCACAGGATTACACTTTCTGGGAAGATGCCTGCTGGGATTGCGTGTTATGATGTGGTGGTTGATGTGCCCTTCCCTATACAGAAGGAATTGGATAATTTTCTGGGCAGCATAGACAAGAGTAAAGAGCTTGGCGTTTTCGAGGAATCGATTTCTGAAGATATGAGGAAGCTCCAAGAACACCAGAGGAAAAGGGCACTGCTTCTTGGATTCAGTCAGTCACCTGTTGAGTTTGTTAATGGTGTACTTGGTTCTCATAGCAAGGGTGTAAAGTTTGATGGTGGGGAAAGTAGTAGTAGTCACAATGAGCACAAGTCAGATGTGTACAACCAACCCTGGTAACTCTTCTCATCACTATTTTATCTGAGTTAATTCCACCAGATGTGACTATTATTTTTTGAACATTTTTTCGTGGCTTTTCCTAATTTTAGTAAGGGCATTTTTGTCTTTTGCGTTTTTTCCCGGTTTCAACCAGTTTAATTGGTTTAGAATTTTAAGTAATCTCTGATTTTTTATTAATAATATTTTTCAACCAATTTTTAGTAAAGTAATAAATCAATTAAACTGGTTGAAATTGGAAAAATAACAAAAAGAAAAATGTAAAGAGACAAAAATGTCCTTACTAAAATAGGAAAAGTCATGAGAATGACTAAAATGTTTAAAAAATAGTCTAGGATGTTAAATGACAAAAACATTGACTAAATTTGAAATTGCTCAAAGACAAGGGCTCCCTGGTGGAACTAACTCATTTTATCTCCATAAACTGCTTATTATGTAAGTTGCGGGATGTTATTGAGGCAGGGTCTAAGTGCTAAGATCCTTTCCTTATGAGGAGACCCCAAACCCGGATATTCGTGGGATTTGCCTCAATGAGGAGATTCAAACACGGATATTTGTGGGATTTGCCTCAATGAGACAGGGTCTAAGTGTTGAGATCCTTTCTCAGATTCAAACAAGGATATTTGCTGGATTTGTCTCAATGAGGCAGGGTCTGAGTGCTTGCTTTTTGTTCCAAAACTGAGATTTGAGGAGATTTGAACCTCCCGGGATTTGTCTCAATGAGACAGGGTCTAAGTGTTGATGGAGATCCTTTCCCAGAGATATTTGCAAGATTTGTCTCAATGAGGCAGGGTCTGAGTGCTTGCTTTTTGTTCCAAAACTGAGATTCTTCCCATTGAGGAGAGTTAAACCTGAGTATTAGCAGGATGCGCCTCAGTGAGGCAAAGCTTGCTTTTTGCCCCAAGACAGATCTTTTCTCATTGAGGAGATTCAAATTCGGGTATTTGTTAGGTCACTATACACCCACAATCAACCTTTCGACCACTGAGTTATGTCCCGGGACATATAAATCTATTCATGGATACATGGGATGAGATTATTGGAGTTATAATTGCTTGGTTTGTTTGATTTACAGGGTTGAAGATGCTGTAATTCGCTACCTGAAACGCAAACCAGCTTCAGATGCCCCAAGAAAGATGTGAAACTCTCTCTATGCAACTGTTTCATTTCATTAGACTGCAACATCTCAACTCATTCTCATAATAAAAGCTAGCATTGGACATTGCTGGTTCAAAGTCTGGTTTACAACATTGAATGTTTTTTCTTCTTTTTTGGTTATGCAAGCAGGATTTCTTTTTGCAGTGTCACCCTGACCTGAATCATCTTTCTTTACCAAATCCTTTTACATTGAATTTCAATCTATACAGTAGTATTCCAGACTTAATTGTTTCACAGAGTTAATCTCAGATCCTTTCAGTATAGTGATTTTGTCACATTTAATTTTAAATTTTCAAACAATTAATATATATATATATATATATATATATATATATATATATATATATATATATATATATATATATATATTCACATGAATACTCAATAATAAATAAACAAATAAATTTGTAATATGTGTATATTCTTGTGCATACACGTGTATGTTTACGTGTGTGTACTCATATAAGGGTTTTTTTTTTTTTTTTTTTTTTTTTATCATGAAACTTTAGCTATGAGCCTATGAGGCAAGAATAACAAATTCAATGGGTCTTGGAAATAATTATACCATTGCAAAGTGAATAACCAATTCCATAAAATTTTATTTTATGGTATAAACAATAAACTAAACCGCGGAATATACATATTTCATGGAATACTAATCCATTCTCTATCTATTCCTTCAAATGTTTTAAAAAGAAAAGATATCAACTATCTACTCCAGATTTTTCTGTTTTATGATTGCATTGGGAGGAAAACTTAAGCATCAACAGAAGGGCATCATTTGAGTTAGGGGTGAGCAAAAAAACAAACCGACCGAAAAACCGTTGACCGATAACTGAATTGCCTGAAAAGTTCGGTTATCGGTTTTCTAGTTCAAAAATTTTCGGTTATTTCGATTTTTCGGCCGGTTTTCTTAAAAAAAATCGATAACCGACCGAAAAAACAATGCTTAAATAAGTGAAAGAAATAAAATTAGTAATTTTATAATATATTTTAACTTAATATTATTGTTTGAAAGTGTTTTTTCCTACCTTTGGGATTTAATACAAGAAAACATATGCATATTTTTAAATGAACAATATTTCTAAAATAACAAAGTCCAATTACTAGTTTAATACAAGGCTCATTTGAACAAAGAAATCATATGGATTAAGATTTTAATATATGAACCAGTTAACAACATGAAAAATGTTAAAACTAAACATTAGTCCATTATTTTTATGTTGAAAATAGCAAGTCTACACAAAGAAACTAAGCCATCTGGATTCTGGAAACATAACCTAAAACAACCCCATATTACTTTATTGTAATAATACAATATAACAAGATTCAAAGATTTATACTGTAACAAGCAACATCAACGTGCATCTGTCAAAATTAATTCTTAATCAATTTATTATGCTCAAAGTTCTCAAGTATTTGTAGTAGTGCAAATTTAGTACTGCTTCGGTTAAAAATAACCGAACTTAACCGATCAAAAATTTTGTTTTTCGGTCGGTTCGGTTATGAGAAGTACCTCGGTTATACAAAAGTGATTATTTTTTCGATTATTAATCGAAAACCGACCGATAGTCACCCCAATTTGAGTAAGAATAGATACATTCTTATTCTTGTGCAAACAAAATGTCAATAGCATTGGGGTCAAATGCAAATAAAATGTTTATCATTGCTCCAAAAAAGCAATCAGTTTGAAGCAATACTCCACCAAAGGTCACTTGTCTTAGCAGATGGCCTTAAAACTTAAAAGAAAATTAAACCGAAAACAGGTTACTGCTCAGATTGTGAAACAATACTCACACTATATTTCTATTAGGCCTACAGATTTGATTGGCCCACACGCACTTGAACCCTATGCCATGAAGTGTTCAGTATTCCCCTCAAGTTCCAAACATCTCCAACATTTTCAGGTTGGACATTTGCAGATGAATCCACCTGTCAAGTATCAAACAAATGGAATGATTAATGAAGTAAAAAAAAAAAAAAAAAAAAATAGTGAACTATAGTAGGCTTAATAATCGAAAATCCAAATACTTATAAGTCTTGCATAAATTGTAATAAGGGTTTGCTCAATATGATAGATTTTGATGTACCAAATTAGAAACGTACCGCTTTGGCAACTATCTCAGCACTGTGTGAAACATTAACCTCGGCCTCAAAAAGAACCCATGCCCATTTGTCAGTACTGAATTCATCATCAGAAATATATGGAATGCCAGTTTTTTGGTATTTGGAGGCTTCAATCCATGTTTTACCACCATCAATAGATATATCTACCCTTTCAATGCCTCGCCCACCTCCTGAAACTGCATACCCCTTAATAGTTATCTGAAAATACAAGAAAAATGCATCATAGAATCTGAATAATGAAAAGAAAACTCTTTTTAGTCAAGAATTGTGAATACAATAATTTTTTTGACATGTCATTCCTGGTATGAAGGTATAGCACAAACTAGAAGATCCAATATGCTTTGAAGGTTACATTTAATGTCTCTGGAGTGAAACGAATATCAAATAATCTCATCACCATAAGATACTATTGCAGTTTGCAGTTAACCAGAATAAATAATTCCATGCAGTTACAGTTACCAAAATACAAGATACTACTCTTTAAAAGATAGTGTTATTTCTTTTGATTTTTTTTAAAAAAATGATATTATTAACTGAGATAATTTTTTTATGTGGAGCCATAAAGAAAGATTAGGTTCTAATGGGAGAGGATAAAGGGTGTCATTTTTGTAAAATCTAGAAAAATAAAAAATAAAAGTTCGGAGTATATATTTGGAAACATTATGGGTGATGGTGTTTCAAAATAAGAGCTTATATTATACTCTATTTACCACCAGAGGAGATAGCTTATTGCCTTATTTACAGTTTAAAATAAAATATAAGCTCTAAAAATAGCCCTGCAAACAGAGTCATAGGTAAAACACGCTCTAATGTGTAATTCCTGAACTAAACATGCCCTATATGACAAATACGTTTTTACCAGGTACACCATACATACAAGATGCCAATATCAATTTGTAATTTGTTAATCTCAAGAAAAGAATATAAATTTACATGGCTAATAGCATGCAAAGAGATAATAAGAGTCATCCATAATGATGCTAACCTTTCCATGCTTTACGACACTAACATCCTCCAAAGAGCATATTGCACTCTGTAAAGCAACAAACAATGTACATAAGATTCGCATAATGATTTTACATTTTTACCTTCTGTTCTTAACTTCTAACTTTTGTTGGACAGGGGCTTTTGTTGGTTTATTTTATTTATCTTTTATTATTTTGGGGGTACATTATGAAAATAGTAGAAGGTGATTTGTATCCAAGCAATAAACCAATGACTTCAAACAACCAATAAGACCAAGGATCTTGACCGCCATATTAGTGGAAAAATTGTTAGACAATGACTTTAAGCAACTAAGAAAGCATAGGATCCCAAGTCCCGATGCCAAATTAATTAGAGAAAAAAACAATAGACCCTCAAAGTTAGCATTTGGTCTTCTAAGGTGTAAGAGAACAAGAAATATCATCACAGCTGATACACAAACATCAACTAGTTACCTGCACTGGGAAATCCATTTGTGGTCTCCTAGTAGACCAATTGATATTATCCCAATCAACAGAAGGTGGAAACATCTTATAGTCCTTTTGCATAAAAAATCCCTGCAGAGCAGTACTACAAAGTAAGTGCATTGGAAGGCAGATAGTATCATCATACTGAATGTTTACACAAGTGCACACCTGGCATTCTTCAGCTATGATATTGATTGAATCAAGCCACTTAACTGATCGGGCACCTATTACTCCTGGGACAATCACACGCAATGGATAGCCGTGGTCCCTATTCAGTGTCTTCATTTGTGAACCAGCAACATCATATCAGAGTAGGAAAACATCTACAATAATATTTATCTGCCCTCTCTCATACATGGGCAATAATGAAAGTAATCTAGAAACAACAAAATGGAACATACATAAAAGATGAAAAAACACACAGCATTTCATTATACTAAGCACTTGTAAAGATTCAAAAATTGATAAATTTGTTAAACCTCTTATACAACCATTGTTTATCTGTAACAGGGCGTTTGGTTGGAAGGAAGGAACTGTAATTCGGTGGGAAAAGAATAAGGTGGGAATAAATAAGGAATTCAAACTACGTTGTTTGGTAAGGAGAAATAGAATTATTGGAATTGAGAAGGAAAGAAGTGGTATAAAGACCAAAATACCCTTGTGTAATAATAATAGTAATAATAACCAAGGGTAGTAGTGTCATTTCATCTATTTTTTCTTCCTCACATCCATTGAATTGCAATTCAACAAAAGGAGGGAATTGCAATTCCCTCAAACCAAACAATGTAATGTTCATTCAATTTCAATTCCTTAACAACGAAATTACGGTGTACCAAACGGGCCATTAGTTTACAAGAATCCTATTCCTGAAGAGGAAAGGGAAGGAAGAACGTGATTGTACAGAACTATAACCATAAGCATCAGAAAACTAAAATGTAATGCATATCTACCAAATAATGAGAAATAATACCTCTCCATTCATCTCATAAGCAAGTAAGACATCAGCTACAGGATTTGTAGCTTGACTTAGTGGAATTGATGCTTTATAAGGGCCTCCCTTTTCCTCCTATAATCACATATGTATTCCAATCACTTCTATTGATATCAAGCAATATACAAGGAAAAATCATGAAGCACTGTCAGATAAGCAAAATAATCACCTTACACTTATCAATGCTCACAAACTCAACATGCTTTCCTCCTGATGGTGTCATACTTGTCAGCTTAGGTATTCCAATCAGTTCTAGTACATCTGCCAACCTTGCTCCACCCCAAATAGCTGAAAGGACAAGCACAACCCCTTAATATGATTTTTCCAGAATAATAATCAATGAATAATTGTGGAGTAAGCTGCTCAAGCAGGGACTAAGATAAGAATAAATTTATAATCCTTTCCAACATCAATGAAAAAGAAACCACTTTCTTTTTGTAGATAAAGGAGTGTGAAGGCTCAATCAACTAACCATTTCCTAAAGCAGAAATATCCCAGCCAACTCCTCTAACTTTTCGGGTATTGCTCATTGCAGTCCTCCTATTACCAGCACACTGGAAAGGGAAAGCCATATCATATACCCCTTAATAATCTCTAAATCACAAAAACTTAAGAGAAATTGAAGTCAATCATTAGTACAGGCTTGAGTTAATACCATTTGGGGTCCTCCAAGTATACTGGTTTTGCCACATTTAGTCCAAAATTTCAAATTAACCACACATGGTCCTTCCACTTTCAAATTGTTACCGTTTGTGGTCCAAGTTAGCCACCCATGATCCTTCAACTATCAAATTTTAACCACCCATGGTCTTTACAAAAAGACCACAGCTGGTTGAAAGTTAGGACCATTAACTTAGACCACGGATGGTAACAATTTGAAAGTCGAAGGACCACAGGTGGTCAATTGAAAGTTCAGGACTAAACGTGACAAATCCACTATACTAGGAGGACCCCATACGGGGTTAACTGTACAGGCTTCACCAAAAGAAGATGTTGAGCTCTTACCTGTAAAGTGGCAGTGACAGTATGTTTGGGAAGTTTCCTAGAAATCAGGGAACGGTATGAGTTCCACTTACCAAATAGAAAATAAGAAAATTATAAGTTATTGATTCTCACCATATATCTCTCATGAAGAGCTCCTTGGGATGTCCAATTAGACCAGATAGAGTAACTGAATATCTGCTCAGCCAAGCAGTCATTATTGGCCAAAATGACATTAGAGAAATTAAAAAACAAAATTTGAACAAGGGGTAGAGAAGCAGCAAAACCTCTCGATGTCTTCCACAACAGGAATAGGTCCATGGTTTCTCTTGTAAAAGAGATCGACAGGAGTCACATAAGACGAAACCAAAGCAGAACGAGGCGGCTCGGCATTGAAGGGTTCCTACTCCAATACAAAATTACAGTCTTCAATTAACTACCGGCACAGTTACTTCAATAATTACTTCAAAAAATCAGTAAAAAATTCGTGCTTTATAATCCAAAATTGGAATAACAAGTACAGAGATAATGATATGATATCAAATGCAATCTCCCAAATCATCAATCCACGAAATCACGTATACAAGCAGATTATGAAACGCAAGGGTTGGGAAGGAGAAAGAAAGAGACCTTGGAGTTAATTTTGAGGCAAGGGTGGCGAGGGGGTTCCTGCGAGTAATCGGATGGTCCTCTGATTCCGGGCATCTCTGTCTGTCTTTGCCGGCTTCTCTGATCCTTACTCTGTGATTCTTCTTGTCTGCTTTGTTCGTATTCTTGTGTGAGGATTTATAATGGCCAGGAATTGGTTTGTACTTTGTTCGAACATGAACGTTTCAGTGTAAAGAAATGACTTCCACTAATTTGCCAAGAGCAGCGATTACTGCTATTCTTGGCATCATTTTTTATATCATCTTTTCCAATTTTTATAATTATTAATTAAATTAAAAAGCTATAACTAAAATTTTAATATTTTTTTATATATTTAATTTGATATGCTTAATGAAATTATAAATTATAAGGAGTAATAATTATAGCCAAGACATTGTAGTCTAATGGCACTCGAATTAGACTCTCATATCAGAAGTTGTGAATTTGAGCTTCATTGGGGGCATTATTCGCCTTTTGTGCTAAAAAATAATAAATTATAATTACAATTATAAATTATAATAATTAACTAGAATGGTGTCGACCCATAAAAAATTGAAGAAAAAAAAAGAAAAACATGAACCATTAAAAATGAAGGATTTATAGACTTTTTATCAATCATTATTTTCAAAATGTTGAATCCTCAATCTCAAGGGTCCCTAACGCACTGGACCGACAAAGCATATGGAGATTATGTAAATCATGGTAACTCAAGTGAACACATATACTTGATTTTTTGAACTACGGACATAAAGTTTATTTTTGATCAATCATTATACCATTGATCATTGTATATCTTGTAAGGTGAACTACTAACATAAAGTTCATTTTTAATGTATTGAAAATTTATTTTTAATATATTGAATGTTCATTTTTGTGTAATGAAAGTTCATTATTTTATTATTATCAAATAATGAATTTTTAATACACAAAACATGAGCATTTCTTATTGTATACACTGTAATGTGGATCATGATCTATTGTATAATATGTTATTTTTTAGATTAAATACCAGTGAACATCCTCTGACTTTGGTGGCACTGCCACTTTTAGTCCTCACCTTTTAAATCAACCACTTCTAGTCCTCATACTTTTTGTTCTAACCATTTATGGTCCTTCCGTTACACCTGGCCATCTAATGCCGTTTTCTCAAGGGAAATTCGGTCCATTCTTGAAATTAAAATTAGCTGAAAATTAGGCATTTTCTCAAGGCGCGTAATTTCTTTCAAAAAAAATACTTAATACATTAATTATGAAAGGACCGAATTGTCCTTGAAAAAACGGCATTAGATGGTCAAGTGTAACGGAAGGACCATAGATGGTTAGAAACAAAAAGTATGAGGACTGGAAGTGGTTGATTTAAAAGGTGAGGACTAAAAGTGGCAGTGCCACCAAAATCAAAGGATGTCCATTGGTATTTACTCTATTTTTTATATAGTGATGAGGTGAAATGTTACCACCTACAAAAAATTTTAAAAATCTTAATCATTGTGATTGATCTTATTTTTATCATGTTTTCAAAAATTAGCAATTAACTTGAGTGTCCTCTGATTCTAAACATTTCTTTCTTCGTCGTCTTCTAACTTTATCTTTGCCTGTTTTGCTGAGTCTGTGTGCCTCGTTATTTCTTATATATTTTTCTTGTGTAGTTATGTGAAGATTACAATGGAGCATTTATCTTAAAAAACAAATGGGTTGGACTTATTTGACAATTGACAACCTGGTCACTAGTAGTTACCTTTTTGTGATATATATATATATATATATATATATATATATATATATATATATATATATATATACACACACACAAACTAATGGCCTTGTGGTCTAGTCGCACGAAGTGACTTTACTGTATTGTACTATTGTAACATAGCAAGATTATCAACTGGATAGCAGTTTTAGAGAAAAATATCTTAAGTATAATTTTTGCAACACAAAATCATATTAATTGACGTGACTCATGCTTTCTCTTGTTGTCATTTCCGCCATAAATGAATTATTGATTTAATCTAGTCCCCTGGTGTGCTTCACTGTAATTTTAGTGCCCTGCGTATTGTTGAAAGCTTAAGGTGCGTCATTTAACAGTTAAGGTGCGTCAGTTTTATACTTGAAAACTTAAGGTGCGTAATTGTAAAGCTTAAAATGCGTATTTTCAAAGTTTACGGTGCATCATTTTAACACTTAAAGTGCATCAGTTCTATACTTAAGGTGCGCCATTTTAACACTTAAGGTGTGTCATTTTAATACTTAAGGTACGTCCTTTTAACACTTAATGTACGTCATTTTTAACACTGAAAGTGCGTCATTTTAACACGTATTAAGGTGGTGCCATTTTAACACTTGTGCGCTATTTTAACATTTAATGTTCGTCATTTTAACAC